GATGTTGAAGCTGAAACTCCAATACTTTGGCCACCTGATGCGATGAGCTGACTCATTCGAAAAGACCGTGGCGCTGGGAAAGATTGAGGGCAGGAGGAGAAGGGGACGACAGAGGATGAAATGCTTGGATGGCATCACCAACTCAATGGACATGAGTTTGAGTAAACTCTGGGAGTTGGTGATGGACAGGGAGGCCTGGCATGCTGCAGTTCATGGGGTCGCAAAGAGTCGGACTGACTGAGCAACTGAACTGAAATGAACTGAATTGTCTTTTTCTCTCAGGTTATGTATGGGCTTCTTCAGGCAAAGCTTCTTATTGACTGCTTTTTCCCCTCATGCATGGCCATATATCTTTCTTTGCACACCTTTTTGGGGGGATTTTCTTGGAAATTTTGTAATTTTTTGTTGAGAACTGGACATGTAAAATAATACATTGTGGCAATCTTGAGATCAGAATTTCCCATGTCTCAAGGTTTGCAGTTGTAACTTTTAGTTATTTTCCTGAACTAATTTGTGAAGTCTGTATTCTTTGTCATGTGTGACCACTGAAGTCTCTGCTCAGTTAGTTTAATGGTCAGCTAATGTTTGAACAGAGATTTCCTTAAACTCTTGAAACTAATAAATCTCTCAGCCATATTTACTGGGTATTTACTGAGGGCTCCTTCTCTCCCTGTGTTGGGGCATATCTTCAGTGATTAGGCAGAGAGTTTACAACTTAGCCCTTCTTGCTTGTGTAGAACCTAAGTTCCACCAGACTTGAGAGCTTAGGGACAATCTCAGGTCTTTCCTAGTGTGTGCACAGCTGGGCATGTACCCTTCATGTTGGAACTTTCCAAATCCTTTATGGACATCTCACTCCCAGCCTCTCTTTTTAATTAAGTATTTTGGTTAGCTTGTTGTTTGTCCTGTTATAGCTCCCTCAGGTGGCTATAATGTTATTTAGTAGCTGCTAATTGTTTCTGACAAAGGCCATTTGCCCCCGGCAAGCTCTGAGTTAGGTCAGTGAAGACAAGCCTTCTAGTGGAATTTTCCAGTAATCTGACAGACGTGTTAGATAATGACTGTTACTTGAGAATGGGGCTTTGGAGGAGATCCAACCCTATAGCTAGGAGATACAGCTTCCTCTGGTGGCTACTAGGCTGCTATTTTTCACCATGATTTGGGAGCTGTTGGTCTACAAAGCTACCAGGAACTGGGGAGTGGGGAATAGAAATAGGATAACTTAAGAATACCAGTGGATCATATGGTGAGGTTATGTTTTAACTTTTTGAAGAAACTGCCAAGCTGTTTTTTTCCAAAGTGGCTATACCATTTTATATACCCACCAACACTGTATCAGTTTTTCTGTATCCTCCCAATATTGTTATTATCTTTTGATTATCACTATTCCAGTGGATGTGAAGTGGTATCTTTTTTTTATTTTGAGCAATAAAACTCTTTATTCACAAATGACATGACCATTTCTGTAGAAAATTTTATAGAATCTACAGTAAAGTTAAAAGAACTAAGCTGTAAGTTTATTAAGATTGTAGGACAGAAGATCAATATACCAAAATTGTTTGTATTTCTGTGTATTAGCAACAATGAGAAACTGAATTTAAAATACCATTGTAATAGCATCAAAAATATAAAATACTTAGAGAAAATCAGACCTATACACTGAAAACTATTAAACATTGATGAGAAAAATTAAAGAAAATCTAAACACATAGAAATACTATGTTTATAGAGGTCTCAGTGTGATTGTGGAAGACCAAAGAGGATGTTGTTAAAACAGAATTTTAAAATTGGAATTCACAGAGTGCTTGATTCTCAAAGATAACAAAATTCTGCATGTAGTCAGGGTGTTAACGGTTAAAAAGAGGGAACATATTAGGGTGTCAACTGAGTGCATCTTTATGCATGTTTAAAGCACTGAGGAGGAGGGTCATGGCTGTGTAGTAGGCAGAATATGTAAAGTGATATTTTGAAGTGCTTTTCCACGTCTATTTTTGCTCATGTTATATTCTCAGATCTTGGTATAGTACCCGGTATGTAGTAGTCACTCAGTAAAAGTTGTGAAAGTAAAAAGGGACTAACAAAGTTTTACAGATGGTGCCTTTAAGGTGATTCATTCCTCTAAGATAATTATTTGGCCAGTTAGGAGGAAGACTTGAGGCAGAACAAAAGCTAATCCCAAAAGCTTATAGCAATAAGTTATATACAAAAGGAAAGATCCCAGAATTCTGTCACCAAGATGTTTTCACTTGTGCTGTGATACTTTGCTGGTGATGAGAATATGCTTAATACATTTGATAAAGTTTTTAAATGCCTTCTTTGTTTCAGGCACTGTACTGGGCACAGGGGATGTAGCCTGAACAAAACAGATACACATTTTGCCCTCATGGAACTTACCATCTCATGGGAATGACAAGTAAATAGGCAAATAATAAAGCATGGCAAATAACTGTGAAGGAGGAAGTGTAGAATTATATATAAAAGGTACCTCTATTGCAGACATCTCAGCTGAGACATGAGGAAATAGTTGGTGAGGCAGTGTTCTAGGCAGTTGGAACAGCATTAGCAAATGTAAACAATCATGACACAAACCTGGCAAATTTGGAAACTAATATTCTATAGGCTAGGGAAGAGTGGCTGAGAATGTGAGCAGAGGCCAAATCCTGTAAGTCCTTACCAGTCATTTTATGTAGCTTCAAATTTGTCCTATGGCATGGGGAATCCTTGAAGGAGTGACACAATCATACACATGATTTTAAAATAATAGTCAGATTTCATTGTGGGCAGTGAATGGGAGGGGATCAGAGGGAATTCAGGGAAACCATTTAGTAAGGTAATAATTTTGATGAGAGAGCTTAGGGAACTTGAACTAGGGAGAGAAGTAGATGGAGAGAATATGGGACCTGAGGCAGAAATGTGCCTTGATTTCTGGCTTGAGCCATGAGGTCAATGTTGCTTCCATTCACTGAGCTGAAGGACTCTTAACAAATGGGTTTGGGGGAGAAGATAATCCATTTAGTTTTTAATTATCTGAGTTTGTGGGAGTGTGTAGGTCAGCCTTCTTGCAGGCTTCCACTTCTTGTGGAAACCAAGAGAAATATCTTGGTTAGAGATAGAAATATGGAAATCATTAGTAAATAGATAGTTACTGAGGCCTGTAAGAGTAGATGAGATTGAGATAAAACAGCCAGTAGGTGGGAAGAAGCCCAAAAGAATATGGTATTCCCATAACGAAGTAAAGAAAGTACTAAAAAAAAAAAAAAAAGTAGATGAGATTGTGCAAGAAACAAGAGGCATGAGAAGAGAAGCCTAAGACCAGAAGCCTACAATTACAGACAGAGAAAAGGAAACTGCCACAGGAGGAAACTGGTCCCAGGAGTCAGGAATGAAGGAGTGGTTGCCTGTATTTGTACACTAAGATATCTAGTGAGGGCTTCCCTGGTGCCTCAGCTGGTAAAGAATCCGCCTGCAATGCAGGAGACCTGGGCTCGATCCCTTGGTTGTGAAGATCCCCTGGAGAAGGGAACAGCGGCTACCGACTCCAGTATTCTGGCCTAGAGAATTCCGTGGACTATATATACTCCATGAGGGTCACAAAGAGTAGGACACGACTGAGAAAATTTCACTTCACATCTGGCAAGATATGTATTGAGGGGTGTCTGTTGGATGTAACAACAATGAAGTTGTTGATGACTTTGGCCCGGACACTTTTTAAAATTAATTTTTCTTGGAATATAGTTGTTTTGCGAGCTTCCCAGGTGGCACAGTTGGTAAAGAATCTGCCTGCCAGTGCAGGAGATGTAAGAGATGCAGGCTTGATCCCTGGGTCAGAAAGATCCCCTGGAGTAGAAAATGGCTCCCCACTCCCATATTCTTGCCTGGAAAGTTCCCTGAACAGAGGAGCCTGGTGTGCTGCAGTCCATGGGGTCACAGAGAATTGGACACAACTAAGGGACTAAGCAAATAGTTGTTTTAAATTGTTGTGTTAGTTTCGGCTGGACAGCAAAGTGAATCATATATATATTTTCCCACATTTTTTAATTTCCTTCCTATTTAGGTCTCCGCAGAGCATTGAATAGAGTTGCTAGGGCAGTTTGAATGGGGGAGCAGAAGACAGACTGCTCACCTTCCACTTGAGCAGTGAATGAGTGATCAGAAAGTGAATAAGTAAAAATAATGTTTTTAAGAAGTTTAGCTATGAAGGAAATGAGGCAAAGGACAGTACCTGGAGTGTGACATGGGGTTAATGGAAAGTTAAACTTTTTCCATTAAGTTCTTTTTGATTACTTTTTATTTTAGGAATGTGATTTATCTTTCCAGTATTACCTTCATTATTATCTTTTCAAGGGGTTGGGAAGATCCCCTGGAGTAGAAAATGGCAACCCACTCCAGTATTCTTGCCTGGAAAGTACTGTGCATAGAGGAGTTTAGTGGACGACAGTACTAAGAGGTACAAAGAGTCAGACACAACTGAGTACACACACACAACTATTTATACTTACATCTTTTTGCACTGTGTAGTTAATTCGTTGCATGTGATAAGAAAATAACTTCACTGTCTTAATTAGCTAGATTTTCTCTTAATTGTTGAAAAATTTTCTAGATAATGAAACCTTATTTTAATGTATTACATATTCTGTTTGTTTTTTAGATCATTCATCGAGATATAAAACCTGAGAATATTTTAGTATCCCAATCAGGAATTACTAAACTCTGTGATTTTGGTTTTGCACGAACGCTAGCAGCTCCTGGAGATGTTTATACGGACTATGTGGCCACACGCTGGTATAGAGCTCCAGAATTAGTATTAAAAGATACCTCTTATGGAAAGTATGTATAGTTGGGGATCCTGCCTGGCCTTTCCTAGCCATCTTTTTTCCCTTGGTGTATCTGTCACCAGAACTACTGACAAACTCTGCCTTCTGCATCTGGGCTTGGGATAGAAAAGGGACACCCCAAAATAGAGCAGAGAGACCCTAGACATCTACCCTGCTGCTGTTGATGTTACCACACTTGCCTCTGGAGCTGAGTGGCCCCAGCCCCAGGAAACTTATGCAGAAACCTCTCAGGCTGCCATCCATGCTTGCCTTAAGCTGTGCCCCACCGTTTACAGAGTGGCCTCCTTGCTTCTCTGTAGACTCTAGATTCTGCAGCGATTTAAAAATCTACTCTGCCAGTGTTACCACAAGTTTCCTAGTTCCTGAGTATGGCACAGTCTTTGCAAAGACTGACAAATAATAATCTTTAAATTGTACTAGATATTTCAAAAAGTAAAAATGCCTCAGTCTATTGTGAATCAGTAAAAATAGTATAGGAAACAACAATCTAATAAACAAATAATGAAGCTTGAAGAATGTAAAGACACCATCAAGAGTGAGGGTTACAAATTCCTCCATATCCTCACCAGCACTTGTTATTATCTGACTTTTGGATTCTAGTTATCCTTATGGGTGTGAAGTGATATCTCATTATGAGTTTGATTTCCATTTCCTTGATAACTAATGATTTTTTTACTTCATTGTTGATCTTTTTATGTGCTTATTGATCATTTATATACCTTCTTTGGAGAAATTTCTGTTCAGATCCTTAGCCCTTTTTTAAATTGGACTGGCTTTTTATTATTAAATTCTAAGAATTCTTTGTACATCTAGATATAAATTCCTTATCAGATACTTATTTGCAGATATTTTCTCTTATTTAGTTGTCTCTTGATTTTCTTGATGGTGTGTGTCATTTGAGAAACAGAATTTTTAATTTTGATTAAGTTCATTCTGTCTGTTTTTATTATTTGTTGCTTATGCCTTTGGTGTCATACTTAAGAATCTTTTGCCAAATCCAAGACTGTGAAACTCCTCTGTTTTAAGAGGTTTCTAGTTCTAGTTCTAGTCTTCCATCTACTTTGAGTTAATTTTTATAAGTGGTGTAAGATAAGGACATGGACATAGGTTCAATCACTGGTTGGGTAACTAAGATCCTGCAAGTCGCACAGCATGGCCAAAAAAAAAGTGTTTTTTAGAAAAGATGTTTTATATATTTCTCCATGAAAGAGTGATTTATTCTTGTTTGTTTCAGACCTGTGGATATCTGGGCTTTGGGCTGTATGATCATTGAGATGGCCACTGGAAGTCCCTATCTTCCTAGCAGCTCTGATTTAGATTTACTTCATAAAATTGTTTTAAAAGTAGGTAGGTATTACTGAAATGTACTGTTAAATGCCTAAGTAAGTGTTTTCAGATAAATTCTGCTTGATTTTCAAATTTAGTATATCTTTATAAGAATAAAGAAGCATATTGTTTTGGTAGATGAAAGTAGATAGATGCTTTGGGCTGATAAAAAAAAAGTAGAAAAATTCTCTCTGTTTTTGAAAATAACATTTTTTTTTCTGCCTGGATGCAAATAGCAGTACCATGTTGATGGTTGATACTAAGAAAAATAGTAAAATAGGAACCTACTTCAGTTTGTCTGAAAGTTGTTATAAAATTTTGGCTTCTACAAATATTTGCTTCTTTCAAAGAGGACTTTCAAGTAATAAAATTGATTTTTATTTTGATGCTCTTTTGAAGTGCTTGGAAATAGAAAACCAGTTGTTTACTAAGAAAACTTTTATTAACCACAGTAGATAAGCAGATAGCTAAATATCTTATTCAAAAATATTTTTGATGATAGCTGAATTATTTGATTATCTGCTTTGACTACCCAAACATTTTCATGGTTAGTGTTGCTCATGGAGTTTCAAAGACTTTCTATATATATTTTTGATTGAGGAGCTTGAGCAACCTATTTTGTGGTGAGAAGGCTATACATAAACACGTAAGTACAGGATCATGAGGAAAGTACTTTGAACAACTCTAAAAACTGTGAATCTGGATAAATATTGGTTAAAGATACAGTTTACAGCCTTAAAGCATCATACTTTTTTCTGTCATATTTAAAATTCTGGTTATGAGATTGATGAGAGTAGAGATGATGGGATCAGTTTTGTCATTTTACAAATGAGGAAACCAAGATACAGAAAAGGAAGATTTGCCCAAGGTCACAGAACTAGTTAAGAGCAAAACTAGTGGTAGAACTTAGCTGTTTCCACTCCTATTTAATGGTTCTGTACATTCTGCTACTAATCTATAGCCTTGTTTTTTCTTTGCAATATTTCTATTTCTAAATAATTTTAGTATTTTAGTTGTTTTGAATAAGACTTTGCTGATGAACACTTGCTAGATAAACCATTTTGATACCCTTATGGAAATACATAAAAGTTTGAATGTGCCTTTTCTAATAGCATTATATATTATGTCTTGTATTTTGAAAAAAGAAAATGCACCTGTGGTTTTTTATTCTCGGCTACCTATGTGCTATCAACAGATTACTGGGGAACTCACTTTTTTATGCTATATTCAGAAGATAGTTCCTTATGCTATATTCAGAAGATAGTTTCTTTTCAATTTTAAAAAGTTAAGAGAACTTAATTGTTATTCTTTCTTTTAGTAATTTGATGCAGACCACATAACAACTTGATTATTTTGATTATAGAATGATATCCCTGTTTTCTTATGTATATATATTTTTCTCTTTTCAGGCAATTTGACACCTCACTTGCAGCATATCTTTTCTAAGAGTCCCATTTTTGCTGGGGTGGTCCTTCCTCAAGTTCAACATCCCAAAAGTGCAAGAAAAAAATACCCAAAGCTAAATGGATTGTTGGCTGACATAGTTCATGTATGTTAAGAGATTAATGACTTATTTCTTGGAAATTTGCATAAATTATAATACAGTTTTAAGATATGACTTTAATGAAATTACAAAAGGATTCATGAAGTAATGTTAACTGTTCAAAGTTACTATATTCTTCTGTGTTTATGTATTTAGTTCAGAGAAGTTAAAAGTCACAGACTGTTAGAATTGAAAGGCCCCTGGGATAATCTGATCTGTTCTTTTTTGTTAATTCCAATTTTATTGATAAACTGAAAAATTTTAAGGATAGACTGGAAAATGTTAAGGACTTACCATGTTGATCAACACCTCTTAACAGCCAGTCTTCCCAGCAGTCTACCCAAGAGATTTCTTCCTTGTACAGTGGTATTCTAAGGTATGTCAAGACTTTGGCAGCTATAGTTGTAATGTTGTTTGAGGATACACCAGTGCCAAAATTCAGGTTGATCTGGAGAAAACAAAAACATTATATAGCACTTTTAAATTAGTTTAAAATTTAAATTTTATTTTGAACTGCATAATAAATGTACTGGCATACTTAGAATAGAATTCAAGAAGTGAGAGAGCTACTTGCTTCTGTTTATTTTCTCTTCCCAGCCAATTTTCTTTCCCAGGGTCAATTAACGTGTCTTATTTCTAATGTACAGCCCTTAAAAAAAAGTGGTAATCTAATTTCAAAGCCAGTATAGCATGGTGTTTATGAGAGGGGGCTCTGAATTCACATGAACTTTCTTTAAAACCCAGCTCTGTTACTAATTAGCTCTGTAAACTTGAGCAAGTCAATCTCCATGCCTCAGTTTACTGAGTTATAAAACAACATTAACAATATTTTCTGGAGCTGGAGGATAAAATGAGTTAATGGTAGAAATGTTCTTAGCACAGAGCCTTGAATAAGCTGTCAACAAATGTTGTCCACAAATGTTGTTAATGTTAACTGTTGTTGCTGTCTTTTAGATAAAACTAAACATGACATGTAACATCTAAAGACTTATCAAAGGAAGAAAGTTATTTCTTTGGTAGCTGTAAAGAACTAGAGTTTATTAAAGGATCAATTTTTTTGCTACATTTTCCACTTTAATTTCTTTTTTTTTTCATGTCATAGTTTTGATTTTACAAAGAATACATAATGATCATAAAAAAATAGAATACTTGATAGAGAAGTTAACATTTTCCCAACCTCCACAATCCAGGAAAACTTACTATTGATGTTTTGGTTTATATACTTTTCCCAACCAAATACATGCATAACAGTTTATGCTTTTTAAAAGGTGTTATACTTTATTGTTGTTTAGTCACTAAGTCATGTTTGACTCTTTTTTTTTTTAACATACAAATAAAAGAGAGGATTTATTTTCATTCTGAGTTTATTTAACATTTCATCCAGTTAAAATGAAATAATACATGGGCTCCAACACTGACCAGACACTTGCTAATACTGAAATAAAAGCTGCCAGTCAGTTCATACTTATAATTCATTATGTTACCCAAAATATTAATAACTATTTACCTTTATAAGCTTATTGCACTTCATGTGAACTTTTCTCCAGAAAAGGTATTCCTAAGAGATCAGCAAACTGCCAATCTTGGTTCATTTTGTTCCTTTTGATAAACCATGATTCAACTCTACAGTTCATATTTCTCTATAAAGCATCAAAAATCAGAAGCTTCAACAGATAATGTTTAAAAAGACACATCTTGAGGCTCATTATCCCTTTTGTCATGAGGCTCTGGTCATCTCATTCTGGTATGCATTAAACTTCTGGTTAGTCAATCTTCCAACCAGTCACTCATTTTTCAATGAAAGTTAAGACTAACATGGAGCTGCCAATTATCCAGGGCTAAGAATTCTGAGGTTAGCTGGGGGCGGGAGGCTGGGGTGCGGGGGAGGGTTCAAGGTCTTGAAAGTGAAAGTGAAATCGCTCAGTCGTGTCTGACTCTTTGCGACCTCATGCACTGTAGCCTGCCAGGCTCCTCCATCCATGGGATTTCTCAGGCAAGAGTACAGGCATGAATTGCCATTTCCTTCTTGAGGGGATCTTCCCCACTCAGGGATTGAACCTGCATCTTCTGCATTGGCAGGTGGTTTCTTTACCACTGAGACACCTGGGAAGCTCTGTCTTACTTTACACACTGCTATGTAACCTGTTTATTTTCACTTAGCATTATAGTTTAAGCATACTGCCATGTCAGTAAATATGGAGCTGTGTCATAATTTTAGTGCTTGCATAGTGTTTCATTGTATGTCTATACTATAGTTTATCTTGCAATTTTGGACATTGGGTTTCAGGTTTTTTCCTTATTGGTAAAGATGCTACAGTAAACATCTTTTATATGTCTGCATGAACTTGTGGTATTATTTGCTTAGGATAAATTCCTAGAAGTGTGACTGGTAGACCAAAGAGTTTATACTTGTTAGGACTTTTGGTATATCTTGCTATTTTTTTCCTCCAGAAAGATTTCATAGATTTATACTCAAGTAGCATTGGGTATAAATCTCCATTCTCAATCTAACATTGAATATTACAATATTAAAAATATTTACAACTTAATAAACTAGAAATAAAGTATATTTTTAAAAATTGCACTTCTTTCATTACAGGGAAGTTGGACATGTTACTGACATTAATTGATCATTTGTAGTTATTATTTTAAGAATCCTCAAACTATTTGTGATTTAAAGTATATTTTTACATTGATTTGCCAAATAATCAAATTAGTGTCCTGTTGTGTGTGTTCTAAATACTTTTTTCAAGTTGAATAATCCAGTGATTTGGAATGCCACATTTATCATAGAGAGATTGCTTGTACATGCTGAGGTATATTTGTATTTCATTGATTTCTCTCCTTATTCTATTACAAGTACAATTTTGATTATTATAACTTTCAAATACATCTTTCTTTTGGTCACACCATGCAGCTTGGGGGAATCTTCGTTCCCCAACCAGTGATTGAACCTGGGCCCTGGCAGTGAAAGTGCTGAGTCCTAACCACTGGACCACCAAAGAATTTTCTAAAATACATCTTAATGCCTGGTGTAGAGCATGTATTTTTTCCCCTAGATTTAAAATTTTTTAATAACATTATAATGGTATAATTTCTACACAGTAAACTACATGATTTCAGATGTACAATTTGATGAGTTTTGGTAGATGTATACATACCTGTGAAACCACTACTACAATCAACATACCTAAGATTTCCATCACTTCCCAAAATGTCCTTGCATCCTTTTGTAATCCATCTTTCCCTTCATTCCTATCCCTAAATAATCACTGATTTATTTTCCACTATAGTTTATATTTTCTAGAATAGTCTGTAAATGTAATCAAACAGTGTATATTCTCTTTTATGTCAGTCTTCTTTAACTCAGCATTATAGTCTAGAGATTCAATTCATGTTTTTGTGTGTATCGGTAGTTTATTCCTTTTTATTGCTGAGTAACATTCCAGGTATGACTATATCACAATTTTTTAAAAAATCTATTTCCCTCTTTTGGGTTGTTTCCTCTTTTTGGCTACTACAAGTAAATTGCTGTTAACATTCACTTAGAAGTCTTTGTGTAGATGTGCATTTTTATTTTGGGAGGTAGAACTGCCAGTCTTTCTCAAAGTGTAATATTTTACATTTTCCAAACTAGGGCAGACATTTAAATTCTGTAAATTATACTATTTACAGAAGGAATATTTATCTGCTTCCAATTGGCTGTGACCTTTTAGGATTTTTGTTCCTAAGTTTTATTGATGGATAACTATTAACGTTCTAAAATAAGCACATACTTTTAGCTAGTTCCAGTCTTAAGGATATGACTATTCTCACATCATAAAGAAGATAATAGACTTTATGAGTCAATTTTTTAAAATTGTGGTTAAAGAAAAAACCACATAACATAAAATTTATCCTCTTAACCAAATTTTAAAATGTACAGTATGATATTGTTAACTATATGCAAATTGTTGTATAGCAGGTTTCTATAACTTTTTCTGTGAATCAATTTAAACATAGACTTTGTGAAATAATCAGAAGTGTAATATTATATGCAATTACTTTGTACATTCTGGATTTTAACTGTTGTTTCCATTTATGAGATCTTAGACCAATTACTTGTCTTCTTTGGGCCTTAGTCTACTCATCTGTACAATGAGGATAGTAGTACTACCTACCTTGTAGGGTTGTTGTTGGGATCAGGTAATAGGAAAAGACTAGACAGAGTGTTGTATGACAAACACATAATAAGCATAAATAAAAGTTACCCCCCCAAAAAAAAAACCCAAAAAAGAAACAAAAGAATAAGTTACCTATTATTTGTATGTTTTGCATTCTTTTGGAGGAAGAATGAAAATTATCAGGCAAATAGATTTTATTCAAATATATTTGAATAGATTTAATGCAAATATATTTGCATTAATATATTCTAATTATGATTATTTAATTATATGTAGATTCATTATGTACAACTTCTTTTCTGATACTCTTACTTCACTGTCTCTTTGTTTTGTGGGGTTTTTTTTAGTTCTCAGTTGAACTAATCCCAAGTGAAGAGAAGCAGAAAATAGCTGTTCTGATAATGGGTTATTGAAGGATTTGGGGGCTTGGATATTTTTGAAATTGTTTTATGCCACATAAAAAGCATTGAATTAGGAATCAGACAATATGAGTTAAAATTCTAGTTTGGCAAATTACTAAACATGCTTCTAGCTCTATAAAATGGAAATGATAATTCATGAACTTTCTTCCTTACAGGGCTGGATAAGAGGACCAAAATGAGCTAATTAATTCCTACTAATTCCAGCAGAAATAGACTGACTTCTGTTTTGGCTAGAAATAGGACATTTAACCTGTAGTATTATTTTACAAGTACAAATTTCTTAGGGAAACAAGTGGTCAGAACTCACTGTCAGATATTCCTGAGGTCTAATTCTATCTTTTCAAGAACTCTTTTAGCTCTGGGTAATTAATTATACCTGCATTTGTGAAGTTTAACATTTACCTTAAGGAGACATGTTAAGAGCTTGTTTAACATGGAATCTTTTTTCATTTTCTAGGCTTGTTTACAAATTGATCCTGCTGAGAGGATGTCATCTACGGATCTTTTGCATCATGAGTATTTTACTAGAGATGGATTTATTGAAAAGTAAGCATTTTGAGTGAGTGTGGACTTTTTTGTTTTTTTTTATTAGGAAATTTTACTAGCGTGAAAATTGCTACATAGGTTAATGTTACACAAAAGAATTCAGTTTATCAAAAACTTACTGAGTTTTTGTATTGATATGTGGTAGACTTACAGGTGTCATGGTGAAAATTCTAATAATAAAAATAGTGCAGTTAACATTTATTACACAGTTAATATGTCCTAGACAGTGAGCTAAGCTCTTCACATGCATTTTTCAATTCTTACTATAGGGCAGAGATAACATTAAATAAACCATCAATACTTTTTAACCTTGTTTCCACTTAGACCCCCGACTCAGAATAGTCCAGTTTTTCCTCTTGATAGCATCTCTGATCTATATATTATAATTAGCATTCATTTCCCAGATGATTTTTTTCCTCTGCTTTGCTTATTATCTGTTGCAGTTCCTGTTGTTTTATTCTCCCCACCAAACTGGAAGTTCTCTGAAGACAGGGACCATGGTTCTTAAAGCCTTTCTCTGTCCCACATTGTATCTAAATATATGTTAACAATGTGGATTCATAAATCAGCCATGCTTCTTTAAAAAAAAAAACACCATTTTCTATTTGGGCTTTGAAAGAAACAGGAAAAGTTTATTAATTGCAAAATTATTCAGTTTGCCTTGGAGTATGAGGCAGAAACATAAATATCAATTTTAAATGTGTTGGAGTTAAGATCAGGCATAGGAAGGTCCAGGACCTCCATTGAAAATAGACTGAAGTAGAAAAAGCCAAAGAAAAGGGAATTGCTGAGAGTAAGTAGAACTTGAAGCATTTCAAGAATGTTATTCTAAGACAGAAAATGAGAAGATATATTAAAAGTGCCAAAAATAAAAACTAAAAAATAAATAAAAGTGCCATTGATGAGAAGTATCAGTTATTGAATAAAAGAGTTGCTTCCTGTCAATTCTATATAGACTCATTTGATTTCTCTTGGGTATTTAGCTATTAGGATTTTACTATCACAGGGTGAAAGTTCTTGAGTTCCACAAGGCAAGGAAATTTTAATAGAAATGTGCCATTTTCTTATTCAGTCAAACTAATCACACTGTTTCTTTTCCCTTTATCTCACACTTACCCTTTTACTATAATTCTAGGGAAGAATTCATTCATGGTAGAACTTACTCAGTCTCAAACTGGTAGCTGCTTCAAGAAGGGAAACTGTGTAGCTTGAGGAGAAGGGTGGAAAGGAGACTTTTCAGTATAACCTTTTGAGTTCTGAGCCATACAACTTAAAAATCCAAACCAGGACTTCCCTAGTGATCCAGTGGCTAAGAATCTGCCTGCCAGTGCAGGGGACATGGGTCTGACCCCTGATGCAGGAAGATTCCAGATGCCGCAGGGCAACTGAGCCCATGTTCCATGCCACAACAGCTGAAGCCTGTGTGCCCAAGAGGCCATGCTCCACAACAAGAGAAGCAACTACAATGAGAGAAGCCCATACACCACAACTAGAGAGTAGCCCTCTCTACTAGAAGGGCAACTAGAGAAAGCCCTGCAGCAATGAAGACCCAGCACAGCCAAAAATAAATAAATAAATACATACTTATTTTTAAGCCAACCTAAAGCCAAAACAATCTTGCTTCAATATTGATGTATTCTATTATACTTCAAAAATATTTCTCTAGAGTAAGATTTTAGAAACTAGTCCATCTTTTAAGTCCTGTTATAAGAACAGGACTTAAAAGGGACAAAGTGGCCTGAGTCTTCTTTTAAGTGAATAGTACATTTGCCAGAATTGAAAGCAATGCTTTTATTAAGTAAGCTTTACATCACAAAAGAAATCTAATTCATATGTCTATCTTGTGAAAGTTTTATTAATAGTAAATTACCATGGAGAAATTGTTGAAAGATGTATCTTTACCAGGAAACAACCTGTATTAGGTAAATATTGTGCCATCTCTTGGCATGCATTACTGATAACTTATTTATGCTGTAGCTCAAATGTAAAATTAAAAGGTCTTTTAAAGATAAAATGCTATCTGCATAAATAAAATTATTTGATATTGCTTGTTTTATCAGATTCATACCAGAACTGAAAGCTAAATTGCTACAAGAAGCAAAAGTCAATTCATTCATAAAACCAAAAGAGAATTCTAAAGAAAATGACTTTATGAAAGATGAAAGAAAAACAGTTTATACCAATACACTGCAAAGCACTTCAGTTTGGGGAAAGGTAAAAACTGGTCTTATTTTTAGCCAATATAGCTGTATTATAGTTAGTACTCTAGTGATAAAAATAACTGTTCTCCTGACTCAGATTTTGGATGTATCTGTTCTAGGAATTGGAAAAAGAGAAAAAGCCCAAGGAGATCAAAGTCAGAGTTACTAAAGTTAAAGGAGGGAAAGGAGATATCTTAGAACCAAAAAAGATAGTGTGTGAAGGTGGACATTGTCAACAGGTTGCAGCTGAAATTGTTTATACTATGTCTCAAGATACGAAACCTGTAATCAGTGAGCCACCAAACGCTGTCAGTCCCAGCCCTAACTCTATAGGCATGAAAGATGATCCATGTGCTGGAGGTAGTATGGTGATGCCACCCATCAATCTAACTAGCAGTAACTTGATGGCTTCAAATCCCAATTCAAATCTCTCCCACTCCAATTCAAGGTGAGTTTTAACAGAAAATAAACAGAAGGAAATGGACGTAAGTTTTATAATGTTTTTGTATAATGATATTTCAAAGAAGCAAGTTTGTAATGTCTGTATATAAACTGAATTGGAAGATGTATTGAAATTATAATCACATAATGGGCCATTACTAAATTCTTCTTATAAATGCTATAGAAGAAATTAACTTTTCTTGGCTATGCTCTAGGTGTGTGGTTTTTCACTAATGCAGTTTGCAAAAACCTCATTTTGAAAAAAAGGCCCTCAGAAAAATTACTTCCCATTTGAAGAGAAAAATGTAATGTGACCTCACTTTTGGTATTGATGTGCCTTCATATAGCAAAGTAAGCTTTATTTTCCTATTGTAACAAATTATCTAAATGGAAAAAAGATAGTTGAAAATAATCTTATGTAGTCAGATAGCTTTTCAAGGTTAAATATTTTGGGAGAAAAACAACATACTGGATCAATTTTAGATTCAACTACTATTACAGAGTTGAGACACTGGTACCATGAACCTGATTAATCAAGGGCAGTGTGATGAATGGATGGCAAGAGTATGTCTAGCAAGGCATCAGGGCCAGTTCTAAATTTAGGGAACTGCTATGGCTCTAGATGAAGAAGGAGGCTTGGTTCAGTGTCCTAGAAGATTAGTTCAATCCTAGCAGGCTGGTTTGGGCTGTAAGTTGTGAAGCTTAGTGGTCTGCAGAGGTGGCAAGTGAACATGTCTATACAGCAGACTACAGACAGCAAGTGTCAGTCGTTCTTGAGGTAACTCCCAAACGGTGGTTGTAATAACCATAATTATAAACTAGCCTTGACCAAAAGCTCAGAAATTCATGAACCCAGTAGTTAAGAGATCCAGGTTCAGAACAGATAGAAAGGACCAAATAGGCCAGCTTGAGTAACCCCACCCACAACATGGTGCCCCCACTGATGTTAGCCATGAGTGAGTTGTTCTCTGCCCTGTTTTTACCTCTTAGAGCAGTTGGTACTTCAGTCAGTTCAGTTCAGTTCAGTCGCTCAGTCGTGTCCAATTCTTTGCGACCCCATGAATCGCAGCATGCCAGGCCTCCCTGTCCATCACCAACTCCCGGAGTTTACTCAAACTCATGCCCATCGAGTCGGTGATGCCATCCAGCCATCTCATCCTCTGTCGTCCCTTTCTCCTCCTGCCCCCAATCCCTCCCAGCATCAGGGTCTTTTCCAACAAGTCAACTCTTCGCATGAGGTGGTCAAAGTATTCAAGGACTAACAATTGAATTTTGACACATGTTCAAGCAGTAGACTACCATGGTATAATTTATCATTATTGAAGCTAAAACAAGTATTTCTGAGGAGTTCTAATAACTTCTCATTTGTTTTTAAATAATAGGTTAACTGAAAGAGCCAAAAAGAGACGTACGTCTTCACAATCTATTGGACAAGTTATATGTAACAGGCATGAGGATACAGGTTCCACTCAAGTAAGGCAAGACCCTCATCATTAAATTACATCCTCTTTCAGCATTAGCCTCTCACCCTGTGTCCTTTTCTTTGTCCTTAACGCTCTCACATTTTTTTTCAATGTGCTTTTATTTTTCCCTTTTACCCTGGAGTGAAAATAGGTCATCATTTCCTTAATGCTTTCACAGTTTTAGTTAATTTCTTATAACATGATTTGTGTATTTAATGAGTGACTTGGGGGAAAAAAGGTAAGATTTTCCTTTAAAAATCACAAGACTTTTTGGTTTTTTACTTCTAAAAAATGATTTTAATATCTTACTTTATAGAATAAGAGCAACTGAGAAATAAATACATCTTACTTTTCCCAAGAAAACATAATTGGTGTCATTCATTTCCCCATTTTTCACATAGGAAAATAGTTTACTTTATAATTGAAACAGTGTTATTTGTAATAGTAAGTCATTGAAAAAAACACATCCATCCAAGAACACGTGACTGGTTAAATATGTTAGAGTATATCCACATAATGGGATACTGAGCATTACATTGTGCAAGTATTCATTAACCTAAGAAAGTTTCTATCATCTGTTGTAAAATAAGCAAAAACAGGTAGCACAAAAGTTTTTCCAGAATGCTCAGTTCACAAGTAATTTTTCTGTTGGGTTTTCCAGTGTCCAGAGCACATCATTTTGTAAATTGAAAAATAAGTTATTAATAAAATGAACCAGAGCAGTTTGTTCAAAGTCAGAGTGCAATGAGTAGGATAAAAAATTAAAAGTTGAGGCTGTGGTTCTGAATATTGAATAAGCTAAAAAAATTTATGAAATTTTTATTGGCGTTTGATCCATTTATATATTTGATGATACTCTTCTACTTCTTTTTGAAAAAATGATTTATTTTATCTTTGGCTGTGCTGGGACTTCATTGTTGCACAGATTTTCCTCCAGTTGCAGCGAGCAGGGCCTACTGTCTGGGTGTAGTGCTCGGGCTTCTCACTGCAGTGGCTTCTCTTGCTGTGGAGAGCGGGTTCTAGAGCATGCGGGCTCAGTTGTTGCTGCTGTGGAGAGCGGGTTCTAGAGCATGCGGGCTCAGTTGTTGCGGCTCTCGGGCTCTAGAGCATGCGGGCTCAGTCGTTGCGGCTCTCGGGCTCTAGAGCATGCGGGCTCAGTCGTTGCGGCTCTCGGGCTCTAGAGCATGCGGGCTCAGTCGTTGCGGCGCACCAGCTCAGTTGCTCCATGGCATGTAGGACTCTCCTGGACCAGAGATTGAACCCTTGTCTTCTGCATTGGCAGGCGGATTCTTTACCACTGAGCCACCAGGGAAATCCCTCTCTTCTACTTCTTAATTATTAAAATCACCTTTTCAAAGACTAATTTTTATGCCCGTCTTAAACCATCCAAAAGGCTGGAATTTGTTGGCTCCTCATCCAGTAAGTAGTTACACACCTTTCTTCAAATTAACTCTTGTTTATTTGGGTTTTTTTTAGAGCCAAATGGAGAAGTGTGTGTTTAATGAGCAAACCAGCCAAACTGACCAAATGGCAAATGGAAACAAAAGGAAGCTGAATTTTTCCAGATCTGACAGGAAAGAATTCCATTTCCCAGAATTGCCTTTCATAATACAATCAAAGGAGATGAAAGGAATGGAAGGTACACATTTGTCGCATAGTTTTACAAATCTCCAGATAGAATATTTTAAAAAACCTTTTTTGGTAATATAACTTACATTTATAATATGATTTAGGTAGAAAGAAGTATGTGTATGTGTGTGCGTGCATGATCAGTCCCTTCAGTCGTGTCCGATTCCATGTGACGTTATGGACTGTAGCCCTCCAGGCTCCATGGGGTTCTCCAGGCAAGAATACTGGAGTGAGTTTCCATGCCCTCCTCCAGGGGATCTTCCTGATCCAGGGATCGAACCCAAATCTCTTACATCTCCTGCACTGGCAGACAGGTTCTTTACCACTAGTGCCACCTGGGAAGCCCCAGAATGGAGTATATTGCTAGGCAAAATATTTTCAGCTGATGAAAAAAATTTTTTTCCATAGTCAAATAAAGGGTAAGACTTAAAGGAGATAATTTTAAAGAAGGGTTAAGAAAATTTTAAAAAGTAAAAATTTTATTAGCTCAATTTCGTTGAAATGTTAGAATAGTATTTGAGGAAGATGTTTTTGGTTTAGTATATGACCTAGGGTAATTGCAGTTTCCTTTGTTTTTCTGTGATAACTTGCCCATATAATAGCAGGAATGATGTATGTGTGCTTCATGCATTCAAGGACTTAGTCGACTAAAATTTTATAACATGTATTGAGCTCATAAAATGAAACTCATTTTTTTGCAATCATTTCTCTGAAGAACAGTGACACCTTGTGAAAAGAGAATATAATAGCAAGAAAATAGTACTTGCATAACTCAAGAGGAATTATCCGATCCACTTAACAGTAATATTCAGAATTTTAAAAGTAAATGTCTTCCTTATTTAGAAGACAGACTGGTAGACTATTTGTAAAATTATATAACAAACCATCTGTGACTGATATTTTATACCATTACAGCTCATGATTTGTTTAGTTCCTTTATAATAAACTGAGAAACTGACTTTAGTGGATATCAGAATTTCCATTTGAAACTCTTGAAAAGGAAAGTAAAATTTCAAGGTAAGAGTAACAAGTTCTCATATATATTTTTGCAAAAGTGAAACAGATAAAAGTGTTGAAGAGGGAATCAAAGAGAACAGATTCATCTAAAATACCAACTTTACTTAATGCAGATCAATATCAAGAAAAACAAGAGGTAAAACGTTTTACTGATAGCTTTTACTAAGTAATGATGTTTAGAATACTTGACTTAGTATATAATTTTAGTTATTACTGTTGGAAAGTTAGATAAAATTTCAAAATTCTCTAATCTTTGACCTCTAGAAACAGAACTATGTTTTCCTAGAATAATCAATTATAAAGGTTTTTAAAAAGGTTTTATTTTTGAAGGTAGTAAATTTGAACCCTCATTTGAATGTTGAGTGATTGAATATATGCTACCCAGAGAAAATAGTATGTGTGTTATGTATACTACTTGGTGGTAGGTAAACCATGCCAGAGGAAAGGAATAGTGGTATAGACATACGATTATCCTGGCCACAAGAACATATATATTTTGACTTTAGCCTTTTTCTTCCTATTTTTTCCTCCAATTTATTCCCCCATCTCTGCTTTCTAACTACTGTCCTATTTTCACAAAGATATGCTCTCAGCTAAGTATCAGATAATCTTGAATTTTATTTGGAGATCTTGAAGCCATCAGTATCTATTATAAATTAATACTCTTTAAAGGTATTCTTTTAAGGGAAAGGGATTGTGCTGAGCATTCACTGAATTAAATCATATTAACAGCCTTCTATCCTGTACACCTGTGAGGTCATCAACTTTGTTATCTAGGTTTCTTATTTTCTAAATAAAATTGACTACATTTTTATTTGTGATAAAATTAGCACATACTTATTAAGGAAATTTGAAGAACTTATAAGAATAGAAACCATCATCTGAAACTATGTAAGAAGGTATTTTTAACTAAGTCTATTAACTTCTAGAACATTCAGGTAAGAATTATCAGACACTGTTAGATATGCTTTCACAGTGACATTTATGCCTTATTCCTGGCCTTGAACTTGTTGACAACTCCACAATCAGTTTTGCAGAGAAGAAATATTTTCTAGATAGAACAAGGAAGGCATTAATGGTCATCTTTTAGTTTGTTATAAAAAAGAATAAGATAACTTCAAACTTTTAAATCTGGGTGACTTACTGATGTCACAGAATGTTGAACAGCACACCATTTGCACATTTTTTGAATAATTGGATGAGTTAAGGGTCTTGAGTTTGGGCAGACTAGTAATGTGCTACATGTGTTTTGTCCTACTGTACTGTGAAAGTCCTCAGAACTAAAATTACATTTTAATTCAGGAAGAAAGGAACTCTTAAGACAGTTCTGACATTTTAAAAATACATAAGAGGAAGGGAAAATCCCTTTTTGTGCATATGATGTAGAACTCCTGAAAAGATGATCTTTTTAAGAGTAACAGTGAAACAGTTGTAGTTATTAGAAATATCCAGAAGTCATCAATGATAATTGTAGTTTATATGTATCAGATTGACCAAAAAGTTTGGGGTTTTCCGTAAGATGGTAAGGAAAAACCCAACCCAACACTAATCATTCAAATGCAATTCTGACAAGTGACGGAAATTACACATGAGGCTGGTTCAAATGCTTTTAGTAAATTAATGTTAGAATTAAGAAAATGTCCTAAATTTCAAGTTGATAGGTTGTTAATGTAGAGCATGAGAGAATATGATATGTGTTTAAAAACTTAAGACAGGGAATGGCAGCTTATTTGTTCTATTCACAGATTTGCTTCTGACTTACTAAATCACATCCAGGCACTTCCCAGTTAATAGTGTAGACATGTATTCAGCAGATTCTAGAGACCTAGAGAGAAATTCCAATTACTGCTGAGTGAGTTAGGCAAGAAACAAGAGTCCACAGAAAAGCCTCCTTCAGTTTTGTCTTACGGTGATAATAAGGACTCCTTTGCTAAATAGTCTCCCTGTGCCTTATAAAATAGCCCCCAGGTGCAAAGTACAAGTACTTATCTGTGGCTGTATTTCCTTAGCCAAAGACTCACGGTTTCCTCAATTAAGGTCCTGTTTCTATTTACTTTTTAGAATACAGGAAATGCACAAACTGAAAGGAAGAAGAACCTGCCAGATGTAGAGTAGAAAATGCAGCAGCTGAAAATTCAGGGAACCCCAGAATCACACTGTATGGTTAAAAAAGTCCTTTTTATTAATATTACATACACAAAAATGTTGACTAGAGAATTCTACAGATAGATCGTAAATCCTATGTAGTTATGTGTAAACTCATCTAAATTTGTTTTAATAAATTATAAATTTTTCAAGTTTTCTTAATTTGAACATTAATTTATAAAAACTGTCTGACTGGTACATCCTAATAAAACTACAGTTACAACTACGTTTGGTCATATAATTTTATTTGATGACCTGTTATCTCAGTCATGTTTGATTACTGGTCATTCTTAGCTTTGGTTCAGAACTTTATAGATAGAAAGATTTCTAAATGTGTAGTAACGTGAGATTCCAATGTCTGGGAGCACCAGACATTTCTGAACAAGCAAGCATACTTGATAAGCATGAAACATGGGTTTGGTTTTATACTGGACATTCTGGAGCAGTATTTAATTAAACATATCATGAAATGTGTTTAAAACAATGAAAACTGAGCCAAGTATTGAAGGAAATCTTTTGGCTTGACCAGCATGTTTATCATTTAGTAGTTTATATAGAATATATTGGTATGTATAATTTAACATTAATATAGTCAAAGTTTTGGCAACATGTATTTATATTCTTATCCCCGGTTGTTGGCTTGGTTTCTGATTTTAGGATGGAGATGAACATTATAAGGGGAAGAATTTGAAGAGGAACAGACTTTTTTTCTGGTAGTGTCTTTTCTTTTAAATCTTAAAAAATACAAATTGGCAAGTCTTCCCTTTTAATTTTATATACAACAGAAACATAACATGAGCTGTTACAACAGCAGTTAGTCCACAGTAGCATCGTCCAACTTTGTTTTGTTAGCAAACCATTCATAGTTTTCTTATCCTTTCTTCTAAAAATTCTGTTGATGTGATGTTTTGATTTGGAGTTATGAAGTCGTCTCCTCTCTGCGTGCTTTTTTACTTGCCATGATTACTGAGTAGGTAACACATCCTGTCATATGACTCATACTGTATTTCTACTGATCTCTGCCCTCTGCTAGTCATATAATCTAAGTGTCAGTTTTTTTCTAGGATGCTCTAGCTTCCTGAAGTGAGTTCTTAATGAAATGTCTGACATTTTAAAAAAAGTAGTCCATTACATGATTTAAAATATGTTCTGTTAGCTATAAAAACATTTATAATATTTATAAAGTATCAAAATTATATGGTATTAAATGTTAATTTTTTTAATTCCTTTAAACAACTGCCAGCACTCCTTCAGTTTCCTAGTTCAGTCTGATAGTGCCTTTTATGTAGTACAAACTTTTTCTATTTATGTATGACCCAGAAGAGAAACACTACCAAAATTCTTGGTCGTCATATTATTCAAAAAGCAAAATGAGATTGTTTGGTATTTTACCAAGACTCAGCCTGATTTTGTATTTACCAAATAGACTTGAAAAACAAATGAAAACATAATTTCTTTATTATGATATTGTGATCTCTTTTTGACTTATTAAACGGTTGATTAAAATTTGCAGTGAGTTCTCTGGTGGTCCAGTGGCTAAGACTCCATGCTCCCAATTCAGGGGGCCCGGGTTTGATCCCTGTTTGAGGAACTAGATCCCAGTTCAGTTCAGTTGCTCAGTCATGTCCGACTCTTTGTGTGACCCCTTGGACTGCAGCATTCCAGACCTCCCTGTCCATCACCAACTCCCAGAGTTTACTCAAACTCATGTCCACTGAGTCAGTGATCCCATCCAACCATCTCATCCTCTGTTGTCCCCTTCTCCTCCCACCTTTAATCTTTCCCAGCATCAGGGTCTTTTCTAATGAGTCAGCCCTTTGCATCAGGAGGCCAAAGTATTAGAGTTTCAGCTTCAGCATCAGTCCTTCCAATGAACACCCAGGACTGATTTCCTTTATGATGGACTGGTTGGATCTCCTTGCAGTCCAAGGGACTCTCAAGAGTCTTCTCCAACACCACAGTTCAAAAGCAGCAATTCTTTGGCACTCAGCTTTCTTCACAGTCCAACTCTCACATCCATACATGACCACTGGAAAAACCATAGCCTTGACTAGAC